TTAAACCTTATCAATGGGACTTACAACCTATGTAAATTACTAAAGAGAGGTCATAATATAGCCCATACTATAGTTATAAATACTGAAAAAATCGGCCATTAATCACACACAACATGTAAATTTTACTAGAATTTTGAATCTTTAAACCTTTCCTAAAATCTTAGTACATTTTTCTCAGGTTTGATTTTATCGAAATATTTTTGCTAATCATGAGGCGTGCAGCTTTAAAGGGAATTTTGAAGATATGTTGTCGACTGCTTATTTTCTGCTATCTATGATAATAACGTGAAATATAAATAACTAGCCTACTACACTGTTGAAAGAAACAAAGAAACTATTCGTTGATTTACCTGTCCTCCGCCACAAAACGATAAATATCTACCTATACATGTATGTACGCGTTTTGATTTTTTTTTTTTTAAACTTATGGTTTGACTCGAATATTTTCTGTTTGTAAATGAACCGTTCGCATCTTGCAAACTGAAATCCTATGGGACCATAATACCGTTCAAACGTTTGCAAAGAAATGTACCTGGTCGTACATTGCACTACAGAAAACTTTTCAATATGTTATAGTCTTATTTCAATTAAAAAAGTAAGGTAAATACACAAACAAATTCCATGTGCATAAATAGAACCATGTAACTTTTGCAGGTATTGTTAGATTAATACGAATTTTGAAAACAAAAAAGAGAAAAAAAATTAGTTACTACTGTTTTGTATTATATTTGTTTTAGTAACAGTAACTTTTTTTTTATCTTTATTAAACATTTATCCTTATCTTAAATAATAGTACGACCTTTTTAATTGCATTATGCATTAACGTTTTAATTTATATATTGGTTCTTAAATAGTCTAAAATATTGTCTATTTAATTATCTGTGTTAATTGAATTTTATGTGTTATCTAAATAAAACAAAATACCTGTATTTTTCTTATTAGTATGAACGCTTTTCTGTGACATGTTTGAATATTTTCTAATAAATCCTTTCACAAAAATAATAATGTTTACGGCACACCGCTCCGGCGTTCTTTTGACCGGAAGTTAATATTATCGACCGGAAGGCTATTTTATTTACTGAAATGACTTTTCAAATAACCAGGCGACTAAATAATAGTTGTTAATAATGGGCGTAGCAAACAAATAGAACAATCACTTTCTTATAAGACATTTATAAAGTAACTTATAATGTCCATTTGAAATAAAAGGAATGGTAATATATGAATTGAATTTCATCGGAATAAACCGCCATAAAAAATTCCGGACAGGTAGATTAAAAAATTGTAATCAATCAAAACTCAACACAATATATTAATGAATATCAAAGACTATCCGTGAGGATATTTGTTTCATTCAACTTCCCATAAAGAAATTTGAATATTGTATGAGAGAATTTCATTAGAACATTTTTAACAAAGGTTATTATACATGTATCTGCCATATATATAATCAACACCTTCAACGTTTACTTCCAAATAGATACTTTACACTAGTTGTTTTACGACTTAACGGTTATTCATGTTTCTGCCATATACATGTTTATTATTAACATAGGCTAACAAACTTAAAAGTAAATAATTAAATACTTTAAACTTAACGGTTAATAATATAGATGCAAAGTAGTTCTGCCAACAGCTAACAGAAAATAAAACATTCTACGCCCCTGTGTACTACCTGCAAAAAAAACTAAATAAACAATTAAACAAAAATGTACACTAATTTAACCTATCACACAGTCACGAGTGTAAATACAATTTGCAACGGATCTATAAATACCGCACAAACACTATTAATGAAAAACTAGCCTTTAAATCAAACAAATTGGTTAAGAATTCAAATACAGTGTTAATTTTATCTATAAATATATTTAACTGCTTATACATTTTGTATCACTAATACTGGGAAAATATCAACAGCAGCCATATGGTAGATACATTTATATAAGTGTTACATATTGGTCAGAAAATAAATAATGGCTCCTAATTACCGGTCAGTATATAGTACACAAGATTTAGAAATAAAGAATGAAAGAAGACGATTAAATAGTACCTAAACTTAAAGAAAAATGCAATAATTTAATAACAGAATTGAACCAAAAAGTGATTAAACATCATAACAAGCATAACATAACAACAATACTACTAATAACAAAACAACAATAACACCAACAGTAAAACAACAATAACACACACAGTAAAACAACAATAACACCAAAAGAAAAAAACAACAATAACACCAACAGTAAAACAACAATAACACCAATAGTAAAAAATCAATAACACCAACAACAAAACAACAATAACACCAACAGTAAAACAACAATAACACCAACAACAAAACAACAATAACATCAACAGTAAAACAGCAATAACACCAACAGAAAAAGAACAATAAGACCAACAACAAAACAACAATAAAACCAACAGTAAAACAACAATAACACCAACCACAAAACAACAGTACCACCAATAGCAAAAATTGGTGGGTGTTGTTGGTAGGTTTCATCCGGATCACGACAGTAAGCCATAATGAATTAACCACTACCAGAGCTCAGTTCAGCCACCATATCGTTCATGGACAAGCTGTCCGGCAGATAGGGTGTCCCAATCAAACTGGAAATGAATGATTGAATAAAAAATAAACCTTTTTTTATAAACTAAAAAAGTCGCCCTCGAGATTTTTCAGGATTTGTCTCTAGATTGTCTACTTTTCTTGTACAAGCAAAGTTTGATTTCTCTACAGAAAATCTCTGTTGTTTATTTTTCGTAGCCATTGACGAAACACAAAGAATAGCACTGCTGTAGAAAACGAAAGTAAAACGGTGTATGTCGAGTTCACCCGAGGTTATGTTTCAACTTATTTCTTCATCATAACTTAATCGATTTTTCAAAAATGAACAATTTTGTGAAGCTGAATATATCTGGGGAAGTATTTGCTTTTTTCCTGCCAATTGAATACTTTTTGTTAAATTTGCGATAAATGGTAGCGTATTTCTTGACATTTGCGGACGATATTAATTTTTACCACTTATGTTCTCACCGCCGATCAGATCAACTCGATCGTCCCGATCACATTAATTCCCCGATGAAGCCCGACCAAGCTGGATTAAAGCTGGATTAATTGCACATTCACGACTCCTACACGACCTCAAGTCGACCCTACACGATGTTTAACGACTTCTTCTCGACGAAAACCCGACCAACCGACTTCTTCTCGATCACCCAGACCTATACGCGAGTCAAACACGCTCACAACTAGACAAACTGGACCTCTGCCCGATCATTGCAAGATCGAGTAGAAGTCGAGATGATCGTATACAGATCGAGTAAGGGATGTATACCCTACCAAACTAGATCGTTACACCATTTGTTCTCGATCAAGTAGATCTTCTACTCGATCAATATACGATCGTTTTTCGACCGCTTATCTACTCGATCGCTACTCGATTTTTTTTGACATGTCAAAAAAATTCGGATAGGAAGCCCGAGTCATGCTGTGTTCTCACCGCCGATCAGATCAACTCGATCAAGCACGATCAAGCGATCGGGTACCGGTCTAGTTCGGTCTGCATGCGTGATCGTGGGTGGTCGGAGGGAATTAATGTGATCGGGACGATCGAGTTGATCTGATAGGTGGTGAGAACATAACATCATGCCGACAAAGGTAGACCGCTCCGACCACCCCCGATCACGCATGCAGACCGAGCTAGACTGGTACCTGATCGCTTGATCGTGCTTGATCGAGTTGATCTGATCGGCGGTGAGAACACAGCATAAACTAAGCCCTAAACGCATTTTCTGTGTCAAAATAGGTCTTAAGTATCAAATATAGACTTCCCTCTGCTTGAATTTGAGTGGTCACCGATCAATTCGAGCTGCTTTTTTAAAAACAGGCTTGCCTTTAAATAAGTATTTAATCTGAATCTGTGTTCTTGTTGTACAATTTACAACCATGTTGTAACAGGAAAAGAAAATGAGAAAATTATCAGTGATAATTTGAGTTTCTACTAATTTTATCGTTGAAAAATATTATCATATTTTCAAGCTATATCGATTATAATTAATCGGATAAGGTTATTTGCTCAATTACTTTCAATAATACTGGTCTTTTTAATATGAGGTCCCCGTCTATCGGTGTTCTACACTCTGATAGACAAAAGGGACAACTAGTGTATATCAAAGCACAACTTCCGGAGAAATAAAACCACCGACATTCTTTAAGATGAAGGGTAAGAGGATAGTAAATAAAATTAAAAGAAAAAAAGAAACACCTGTGTATACGGCTGACATATTTATAATAATTCATTTAATGTAAACCTGTCATTCAGATAAAGAATTTTGGTCATGCAAACTTATGTCTTTTATTTTGACTATTGTAAAAATAACACGTCTCACAGGGGAAGCTCCGTGCGTTCTCGGGTTGCTGATATAGACTTTTACCATGAGAGACATGTGATATATTGTTTTATTAAACTGAACCAACATTTAAGTATATTTTTACCGCTATGCATTATTTATCCGAAGGCCATTCACCGTCAACCTTATCAGGGAAGAGAACTAGAACATTACGTTTTCTTAAGTATATATGGATTACTCGCCCCTTGAGAATATTGCACAAATAATATTGACGGGTTCCAGAATGATAGATCGCAATTACTCTATCTGACGTCACATTTGTCTATATAGTATAAAGTTTACATGAAGTTTAATGAAATACAATATTTACCATACATATGGTTAATAAGCCATTGGGACATTTATGGTTTAAAGGTCATGGGTGGATGGTGAGTATCCATAGGATTCAAATAATCCTTATTTTTTTTAATTTGTTCGTGGTTATTTGCAAATAATTGCAAGCAATGATATATTCAGTATCCAATATACCTAAAAAATATATCTATAAATATATACATGTATATTGGATACTAATATAATATTATAATAAATATATGCTTTCAATAAAAAATGCAATTTAAGATACACTCAACAAAACATCTATAGCAACATACTTATATTTTAATCAATTAGACATTCATATTATAAGAATAATAATTTCAGTTTTTATTTTCCTTTTATGTATATACAACAAGCATTGTCTTCAATAGACCAACGTCATATTCCATATAGTTAAAGATAAATGCATTCATCTCAGCATTTTTATCGTTTGTCATCATGCAATATTAACAAAAAGGTCTAAATTCTTAATAATGCTGCTAAGACGACGCTTTAAAAAAGAGTTCTTCAAAATGACCCACCCCGCCCCCATTGTGAACATATATTTCGTTCCATCTTACAACATCTATATACACATGGATTTATGACATTATCTTCCTACATTAACAAATTATTAAGTTTTATGCATCGTGGTATTCAAAGAGAAAAGAATGGTGAAACATGCACGATTACTCGGTTAATATTATGAGATTATTATATATAAGTGTTTTAGTAATTTTAGTTCGTTAAAGTTTACATTTTGTTCATTCAATTTTAACACATTTCATATGACTGCTGAAGTCGTCAAAAAAGATTACATGTCACCAGTGGTAAATCAACATGCATTTATAAATTTGACTTATATTTTGTTAAAGATTTATAGCCGTTAAATCCAAGATGTCTCCTGATATTATTACTTTATATTTTCGGATTAAGGATTATTTGTCAAACAACTTCCTCATTTTGCATAGAAGTATTGCTATACTCTACGAAATTTAACTTTCAATTGATAAAGCTTCTTTAATAAAAAGCAGTATGCTTAGGATTTTTAGCTTCCTCGTTTCCTTCGTATCTGTAAAAAAAATATAATCTCTATTAGATTTACCACATTTGTATTACATTTACCTTATAATATGTAGTATTTTATTGCTAACTAGCATCTTAGTATTCCATGACGTTCAAAGTCATAGACGGAACCTCCAGTATTGTCAAATATGCATAAAAAACACAAATATTGACTTATTATTATGACCATTAATTTTACAGTTGAAGAATGCAAGTCATGTGCTTCAATCAATTCAATTCCATAAAATAGGAATGGAATATATGAAATATATATGTTTTGTTCACAGATGTACAGGAAATATTTTTCTTTAAAATCAAACAACCAAAGCATCGGAAAATAAAACAATTTAACAGTTTTAAAAGAATTAAAATTAGTTTTAAACATATATTAAATTCTGCTGAAACAGTACAATTTCTTTTACCTTACGGATAATTTGCCATCAATCTTTCGTAGCTTTCTTCTTTTGTGTATAGCATTGAGACCTCCATTTGTACTTGCCACAACAATTATGACAAGGACTAAGACAGTGCAAACAAGAACCACGATCATCAGGGTAGGATCATCTAGAAAGATAAAAGATATAGCATACTTTCAATACCAATAAAAGATTAACTGCAATTATGTACTTATATCAACAAAACATGTTGCTACAAAAAAGCATACTGGTTTTAACAAGGTTTATATTAATGTACCAAATATTTTCAAAATTAGAAATTGATGTGTACATTTTTATATTTAACAACAACATTTCAGTCTGCCATGGCAAAGTAATAATGACATCTTGATTATTTCGAAATAATCATATCATTGTTTATGCTTTATAAAATATTTAAAAAAAATCTTGGAAGCGGAAATAGTAAATGGAAATGTATATGAACTATTATTGCAACCAATAAGCATTTTGCTTTGGTATTTAATGTACCAACAAATACACGTACATCATAAACAAAATAGATGGAAAATGATGAAATGATTTTAAACAAAAGCACGTGAAACGCTTTTCTTTGGGTTTCATTCTTCATATTTTCATATTTTTGTAACTATATAAATGATATATGTCTTCAAATGAAACATTGATACTATATGATGGTAAGCCAATATACGCTTCGACAATGCAATCGTAAAAACTAGCAAAATATTTGTTTAAGTTTATTATATATACAATTATTTTATTGAACAGCGATTACATCATTATATTCCGTTCTATTTTAGTCATGAAAATAGTTTTAACACTTCTAGAACGTTTGATTTGTATGTCTGTCACTGGTTTGTATATGTTTATATAATATGATACCATGATGATGTTATATACCCCATAAAGGTTTTTGATTTGTTTGCTTCTTTACTGGTTTGGTTTTTTCATGTTTTGAATTGAAACTACCTTTTTCGCAGTTTGTACCCTCAAATCCATCTGCACAATGACATGTACGTCTGTTTATCTGATTTTCACACCTTCCTCCATTCTCACATGGATTATTTAGACATTTGTTTAAATCTAAGAACAATCATATTATATAATAAATTATGAATTTCTGTATATGGAGCTACATAACAAGTAGACAAATAAAACAATACAAATTCACAATGGCATGGGTTGCTCACAGTGCTTTTAAATCAAATATGTCGGATTTGTTACAATATAAGTATTAAATCAAAATCGTATGTTGAAATACGTGATTCAGATCAGAAGTATTCAAGTTTTAGAAAATACACTTTTTTAAATTTAATATACAAATACCAATGCTGCATGTGTCCCCTTCGTATCCCGTTACACAATCACATTTAAAGTTTGCGACCAAATCTATACACGTTCCGCCATTCTGACATGGATCCGATGCACATTCGTTGATATCTGTGGATTTTTTTTTATATTATTAAAGTGACATTATGCTCATATTTTCATTATCAATTTGAGCTTAATTGACTACATATTTCAAAAAATTGACTGTTCTAATGGCGATTGAACAACAATTGATGCTTAAAATCTTTTAGAATCATTATAAATGTGTTTTAAATATAAAAAGACTGCCCTACTCTTTTTATTAAATGAACACTTCAGGTAAATACCTGTGAATATTTACAGAATTTTTTATTTTGGCTGCATGAGTTTTGTTTACCTTCATGCCGAAGTAAATTATAATATTGGATGTAAAAACGGCAAAATATAGCTTTATTGTAACTTTCACCAGTTTATGCATTGTACTTGGATGGGTATAATGTCACTTTAAAGTAAAAAGCTTAATTATTTTTGTCTTTTGTTAGCAGAATCCTCGTTTATACAAATACAAATATCATACGAAATTTTTTTATCTCGTACGTGACAATCGCCGATATAATAAAATCTTGGATCCCAATTATCTCGGTCAAGCTAAATTTTCCTCTACAATCCTTTAGCGGCTCTTCGAATTTTTACAAACCATATCGTAATTGTTATCTGTGATACGCTATTGTGTACATTTGCCATAGCATAACGTTTAACGTCAAGTTGTATAATAAACATAAAGCATATAATTATATGACATGGATAAAAAGGAAATCGCGTTGACAGGCAGAAAACTGCAAATTTAAAAATTAATGAAAATATTGCAGACTTGGTTCGATTGTGTCTGTTTATGTATGCTTCGGTGATAACAAGCTAAGATGAAAATAATCAATTCAACATGATACGTGACTTCCTTACCATACTCGCAATTGAATCCGCGGTAACCAGGTGGACACATACAGTAATATCCGATTGTTTTATCGACACAATTTCCTCCGTTATGGCACGGGTTAACATCTGTAAGTAAATCGCAAATTTTGATACAATATAATAGATTTTAAATAACTTTATCTCCTAAAAGGCAACATTTATGAGGTATACTTAGCATGTTTTTGCTTAACTTGATCTCTACATGAAAAGTGATGAGAGCAATTAGCATTAAACTGTCAATAAAATAAATAAGCGATTGTTTCTTGTTATTTCTTAATCTTAATTTTAAGAAAAGTATACGTTTGGAAAACATGTATAGTTTCATACGCAAATTCTATGTTTTAAATGTGTCCATACACTACAATATCATAATAGGTAATATAAAATCTGTCTATGCTGTTTTGTTAGCGATATCAATTTACCTGTCCAATCGTAAAGCGCTTTAGATGATTGACAGGCACGACATCCGAAGGGTGCCATTTCGTTGTCCGAGTAGCAGTAGCCACTAATAAAGCAATGACCGTCCTTGAATTTGAAAAAAAATCAAACAAACCAATAAACGAAGCCAATAAACTCACAATACACTCGCTGCCCCTTCTTACATCCTTCATGATATATACTATTGCTGTAATCTATTAGATTTATTTGCATCCTTATACTACATGTAATAGTATTTCAAAGGAAATGAAATGTCAAATAATATTTTAATGTATTTAGTTTAAATACGGATAATTAATGTTGATTTTCCGTCAAAAATCTGCTAGGTTGTTATTTGAATGTAATATACGTCAGAAAATTGACAAAAACAAAATTAAATTTGACAAATAGTGTTATAAGATATCTAGCTTCTGAAAAGTTGGTGGTTCTATTTAGCTGACAGGTCGTGTCTGAAATAATGTGCAGAGGGGCTTTTGAACTTTTTTCCTCAACAAGTAAAGCTGGAAAGTCGCAACATAATATACTGTGTAGGTGCGACGTAATATCCAACAAAAAATCTATAATTTCACATGCAAACGGATTGAAATCACTAAAATGTATGTTATATACTGTTTGTATGCATTCATATCAGATTTGCC